TCCTCTTCTGGGTATATACCCAGAGGAATGGAAATCATCATGTCGAAGAGACACCTGCACCCCCATGTTTATCGCAGCTCTGTTTACAATAGCCAAGATATGGAACCAACCTAAATGTCTATTAATAGATGATTGGATAAGGAAACTGTGGTATACATACACTATGGAATACTACTCTGCCATAAAAGAGAATGAAATACTCTCATTTGCAGCAACATGGATGAACCTGGAGAAACTTATGTTGAGTGAAACAAGCAAAGCACAGAGGGATAAATACCACATGTGCTCACTCATATGTGGGAGCTAAGAGAGAAAGAAGGGAGGAAAGAAAGACCACAGTAGTGCCGTGATCCAACAGAGGGAGGGAACATTCCTGGGGCTACAAATTGGAGTCGAAGGGAAGGGGTGGGAGGTTGGGGGATAACTGGAAGAGGGCAAAGGGTACAAAAGTCATTTCTGGTAATGGACGTGCCCCCAGCAATTTCTGGTAATGGGTATGTCCCCAATATGAATCTGGCCCCCACATCATGGTCAGGAGGGGGGACAATCTCATGAAAATTCAAAATAAATAAATAAATAAATAAATTAAAAAGACACAATCCCCGCCCCAAATACACATGGATACCCAGTTTTCCCAGCACCACTTACTGAAGAGGCAGTCTGTCCTGCAATGTATGTTCTTCTTGCTTTTGTCAAAGATCAGTTTGCTGTAAGTATTTGAGTTGGTTTCTGGGTTCTCTATTCTGTTCCTTTGGTCCAAGTGTGTGTTTTTATGCCAGTACCATCCTGTTTTGGTCACTATAGGTTTGTAGTATAATTTGAAGTTGGGTAGTGTGATGCCTCTGGCTTTATTTATTTATTTTTTTGCTCAGGATTGCTTTGGCTATTGTTCCATATGGATGTTAGGATTGTTTTTTCTATTTCTGTGAAGAATGTCACTGGTATTTTGATGAGGATTGCATTGAATCTGTAGATTGCTTTAGGTAGTACAGACATTTTCACAACGTTAATTCATCCAATGCAAGAGCATAGAATTTCTTTCCATCTTTTCGTGCCTGTTTTAATTTCTTTCAGCAGTGATTTGTAGTTCTCATTGTAGAGATCTTTCACCTTGGTTAAACTGATTCCTAGGTATTTTTTTTTCTGGTGACTATTGTAAATGGGCTTGCATTATTGATTTTCTTTTCTGGTAGTTCGTTATTGGAGTATAAAAATGCTGTTGATTTTTGCTTATTGATTTTGTATCCTACAACTTTACTGAAATTGTTTATCAGCTCTAAGAGTTTTTGGTAGTCTTTAGGTTTTTTTATATATTGGATTATGTCATCTGTAAACAGGTAAAATTTGACTTTGTCTTTTCCAATCTGGATGCCCTTTATTTCTTTCTCTTGCCTGATTGCTCTGGCTGGTACTTCCAGTACTACGTTAAATAGGAGAGGCGAGAGTGGGCATCCTTGTCTTGTTCCTGTTCCCAAAACTTTGTGAAAGCTTTTCTCCATTCAGGATGATATTGATGGTGGGTCTGTCATGTATGACTTTTATTGTGTTTTATACCTAATTTGTTGAGAGTCTTTATCAAAACACAGCAACACAGCAACACATCAAAAAAAAATATTCACCATGATCAAGTGGGATTCATCCTAGGGATGCAAGGATGGTTCAACATATTGGAGTCAATAAATGTGACACACCACATCAGAAAAATCAAAGACAAATACCACATGATCGTCTCAATAGGTGCAGAAAAAGCATTTGACAAAATTCAACATGACTTCATCCTCTCTGTTTTAGACCTGAGAAAAGGGACCACTGAAGAGGAGAATTGACTGCCTTAAGTCACACAGTTAGCAAGTGGGGGAGTCAGGATTCAAACCCATGCAGTCTGGCTCTGTAGCCAGGTGACTTGGCCTCATACTGTGCTGGAGCATATACTTGGTGACTGTCTGCAGCAGGAATGAGACCCAATAGGGGGCAGCAAGATGAGGAAGCTGCGCATGTCAAGATCTCTTTCTCACAATGCCAGCTGCCCCTCATGCCCTAAGTAATCATTCTAGAGTTTTCAAGATCCACCCTTTCACTTCCTCTATTCTGGAGCTACCTGAACTTCCTTCTGTGCCTCCAACTCAACAGCTTTTCACATGCTGCTCCCCCTGGTGCACCCCTGCCTCCTCCAGGTCTCAGCTCCCATGTCCCTGCCTCCAGGAAGCCCTTCCTGGCTGAGCCAGGCGCCCCCTCTGAATTCCTCCATTCCAGCCCTGTCCACTCTGGGTTATCACTGTCTGGGGACAGATCTGTGTCTCCCACTGGACAGTGAGCCTCTGTAAGGACAGAGCCAGGGCTGTCTTGGGCATAGCTGTGCCCCAACACCACTAGGCACAGGGATCAGCACAGAAAAAAGTTCAGGGAGTATGTGTTAAGTGAATAAATGAACGAATGGATACATGGATGAATGGCAATTCCTTCACCCTGTCAGTTAGGTTAAGTCTTCTTGCTATATGCTCCCAAAGACCAATGGCTTGTCTTACTCATAAAGAATATATATATATGTATATTTTAATTTTTATTGAGTCAAAACTGATTATAAATAATTTTGGTGTTCAACATTGAGATATCTTGATCAATTCAGTATTACTAGCATATATATTGTTACAAATCATAATTATTCTTTATGCCCCTTGTCCAATCTCTCCCCGTCCCCCTCTCCCTCCCCCTCCCCCCTCTAATTACCCTAGATTTCTTCTCTCCTTCTGAAAGAATAATGGTTTCTCTGTTAATTTGTTGCCTAGATGATCTGTCCAATGCTGAGACGTGTGATCAGGTCCCCCAATATTATCATAGAGCAGATGCTTCTTCTGTCACTCTGGAATGGGCTTTGTGGAGAGGGACATCCTCTTCTTTTCTTTATCTCTGCTGGTGACTCTCCTTTTGTTGAGAATATTTTTTTAAAAGTAACTTTCATATGTTGAACCTGTACTCTGTTCTCCAGGTCTCAGCTCAAATGTCTCCTCCTCCAGGAAGCCATCCCTGCCTGCTCCCCCAAGGTCGTGTCGGGCTCCTCCAGCCCTGCCCAGTCTGTGCTTCCTGCCTGTCTGACTCTGGAGCCTTTGTTCATGACGAGGATTTATATCATAAGCATGATCTGAGCTCATTTAACATTTACAGGCTGCTCATGATGAGCTTGGCACCAGGCCTGGTTTTACTAAGCTCTTGATAACAGGCAGCTGGCCATTACTGTTTTTATTGTTGTCACTGCTGTTGGTCGTTATAGTCTCAGTTCCTGGCCCTCAGGATTCCTGGAGTTCCTGCTTTCTGTGCTTCTGGGCAGAAGGAAAATGAGCCCAGAAGGTAGAAGGCAGAGGAGGGGCCAAAGTTACTTCCCTGCTACCACCCCTGTCTGCCCCGAAAGCCACTGCCATCGCAGTGCCTGTGAGTTTGCAGCAGAGTGGGGTAAGAGAAGGGAGCTGGAAGGGCTAGAGCTGGAGGGGCCGCAGCTGGAGCGAGGAAGGAGTGTGTGTGTGTGTGTGTGTGTGTGTGTGTGTGTGTGTGTGTGTGTGTGTGTAAGCCGGGCTGATGGACGGCCTGGCACTCTGAAGTCAGGCATCAGGACCCTGGTGAATACAGGGCCACCAGTGGACAGCAATCCTGCTCTCTGGTGAGTGCCCTGCTTCCTTCAGATGCGGGGGGTGGGGTGGGGGTTGTGTGTGTCCATTTGTCAGTGACACATGCATATATATATATACACACACACACACACATATACACACACACACACACATATATACACACACACACACACACACACATATAGATAGAGAGAGATAGAGTCAGAACCACAGAGACCCAGAGAGAGAAGAGAGAGGAGAGAGAGAGAGAGAGAGAGAGATACACAGAGATAGAGACAAAGAATGAAAATAACAGGAGAAAGTGTATCAGAGGGAAAAACAGAAAGATGGATGTGAGAGAGAGGGAGAAAGAGACAGCGAGAAAATTGTACAAAGATGCAAAGAGAGAAATGGAGAGATTCAGGGGAGGGTGGGAGAGGGAGGGAGGGAGAGAGAGAGACAGAAAAAAGAGAGAGACACAGAGAGAGACCAAGAGAGAAGCCCACAGAAGCAAGAAGGGAGAGAGAGACAGAGACCCAGAGAGAGAGCCAGGTAGGGAAAGGGCTGAAGCATATCGGAGACAGACAGACAGACAGACAGACAGGAGTGAGACAGGCAGAGGGAGGATGTGCCAGCCCTGAGAGGCTAAGTCCATGCATCGGGATGGGGGATGGATGTGCAATTTATGCCTAAAAGCCATCTGAGACAAAAGGAAGAAACTAGAATATTTTGATAAGAAAGCGTTTGGAGGTGAAGACATGATTCTGCAACGGGTCGTGTGCGAAGGTGAGGGCTCGGCCCAGCCTTGCTGTGTGGCACTGACACCAGTTTGTCCCTCTCTGGGCCAGAGCTTACCGGCTAACCCCGGAAGGCTGCAGGGACTCTGTGGTCCTCCTGAGATGCAGAGAGTTATCAGCCACGTCTATGGGTTTCTCGGCAAGGTCTTCCCCCTCCTGGCGGGACAGAAGACAGAACACTGTGAGAAGGGGCGGGAGGGAAGAGGCCAGCGGCAGGCTTCCCACGGAGGGAGGCTTCCTTTCTCAGACGGGTATGACGAGGCCCACCGTTGTGCTTTCACCACACACCACCGTTACGTGCGGCAGGAACGTACATGCCCCATTTTACAAATGGAAAAACCAAGACTCAGAGAACATCACTTGCCCAAACACGTGGCAAGGCTGAAATTCAAACCCAGGCGGCCAGGCTCTGAGCATGTGGACCTAACCTCCATAGCACTGCAGGCAGAGAAACAGACACAGGAAACCACCTCCATCATACCGTCACCGTCACAGTGACTGAACACTTACTATAAACGTTTGAGCATCTTGCATCTGATGTTTCATTCGGACCCCATAGCAACCAGATGAGCCATATGCTACTCTGCTCCCCATGTTGCAGTTGAAGAAACTGAGGACCACAAAGACAAGGGCCTTTGCCCGTGATGAGAGAGGCGGTAAGCGTCAGAGTCCAGATTTGCTCCCAAACATCCTAGGAGCCTGTGCCCTTGACCACTGATCGGGCAGGGAATGGGTCAGTGCTTGGGGGAAACCGGGGGCTTTTGAGGGCTGGAGAGGGGCACGGTGGCCCCCCTGTTCATTGGGCTAATGGGAGAGATGCGTGGGTGTCAAGGCCAGCTGCACATGAACACAGCTGCCGGGTTTGGTCCCCTGCCCGCCAGTGCCCACAGTCTCTCCCAGCCTCCATAATTGTGTATAGAATGACCAAATGGAAAACTGGGAACTCCTATTTTGTTCCCTTATCCTCCCCCAAGCAAAGGAAATCTTGCCTGAGGGCAAGACTGAGGAAGTGCCAAACGTTAATTTCTCCCACCAGACATAATAGTAGACGTTCCGGTTTATCAGAGATTGGCTCTGTGACCATCCCTGGGCTGACAGAAGGAATCACACAGTATGGACAGCAAAGTCCTCAGGGGCTGGTAGGCCAGGTTCAAATTGAGCTTCTGCCACTTGCTCTATGGTCTTGGCAAGTGACTTCATCTCTCTCAACATCTGCTTCTCTGTGTGGAACGTGAGTGCACATCGTTGGAGAGAACACACCCGGGGGGGGGCAATTAAAGCTCATTAATATTCATTAAACCCCACAACAATCCTAGGATGCAGGTGATACTACACCCATTTTACAGCTGAGGAAATTGAGGCTAAAAGAGGCTAAAAACATGCTGAAGGTCACATGGCCAGTAAGTAGTGGGGAAGACTCAAGCTTTTTGGATGAAATGTCATGTCTATAACCTCAGATCTCCCTCTGCTTCTGACGTCCATAACTGGGTGCCTCCAACACTCCTCTCCCTCCCTGAATGCATCCTCTCTCTCCTTCTAGCCTCACTTTTGACCACTTGGAGTCCTTTAGCTTGCAGCCCCGCTCACCCTCAATGCCAGCCTACTTAACACCATCCAAAGTGAAGAAGACGTTTTTCAGTCTGCGTTTGGGATCCCGTGGACACCCTAGACTCATGAGAGATTCAGGGGAGTGGGCACACCTGAGTTAAAAAACAAGGCTGTTATTCTGATCTCTGCCTCCACAGAGGTCATCCGTCCAGGTTCCATGACCAAAGTTCCAAGAGGGTGGATCTGATTGGTTCAGCCAGGATCTGGCAGCAACTGATCCAGTCAGTTGTGTTGGGGGTGGGGGTAAAGCGGTGGGCATGTCTGTTGTGGCTGTGGGTGGGGAAGGTTGGCTAAGATATAGGCAGGGGGTCCTTGTTGGCATCCTTGTTATGAGCTTGATTCTTGTGACAGCTGGTGTTGGATTGACCCTTGTCATGTCCCAGACCCTCTGCTTTACTTGCACAATCTCATCTGATGGGGCTTGGAGAGGGGAAGTAAGTTGCCCAAGATCACACCCAGAATGAGCGGCAGATCCTGCATTGGAGCCCAGGCAGGCCAGCTGCAGGGTGTTTTCTGGCAATTCCTGTCCATTCCTGTCCCTCTGGGTCCCTCTGAGTCTTGTTTGCTCTTCCTCTGCCCATGTCTCTACCTGTCTCCCTCTCTTGCTTTCTCCCTCTGCAGAATTGCTAGCCAAACCCACCATTTCAGTAACCCTGGGCACTGCCATAGAGCAGAGGGCATGGTGACTTTCTGCTGTGGCACCAAGGACATCAACATTACCACCCAGTGGGTCTCCAACAGCCTCCCCCTCGTATTCCGTGAACACAGGCAGCTGTCCGTGGATGGCAAGACTCTCACCATCCCCACTGTCCGGCAGGAAGACTCTGGGACTTACCAGTGTGAAGTCTGGGGTGTCCCTCAGATCCAAAGCAGTGACGCCCCCTTCCTGGATGTGAACTGTGAGTCCCTTTCCCTTCTCCCCAGCCCCTCACTGACACCCACTTCTTCAGTGCCCCATTTAGTCTCACAGCTTTAAATACCATCTAAACATGGACTTGGCTACCTTTGAACTTCAGACATATTGCTGTTTTATATCTCTACCTGGATTCTGCTGGAAACATCCAACTTAATGAATTTAAAACTGAGCTCCCCAAACCTGAGATGTTTGATCCAGAATCCTGCCTGCATAGGGGTAATTAGGGAATTAGTTGGCAAACTTTAGACATGTCCTTCACTCTTGCTTTACCCAGGGCTAAGGCTGACATTTAATGTCCATCAGGCTCCCATACCTCCTTTGCTATTGATCCAGAGCTTGAGTGTGAGGAGGGAAATACATTATTTATTGACCCCCTAAGACTCCCATAAGAGAGCTGTTGCTGATGCTATTAATGCTGCAATTGTTCCTGTCCTCCCAGACGGTCCTGATGCTGTTGAAATCAAGTTGGGATCAGGTGTACCCAGCGGGGAGGTGGTTGAGGTGATAGAGGGCTCCACCGTGAACTCCTGGGTGGAAACAGTCTCACCCAGCCCCTGCCTATACCTGGTTTCTCCCCAATGACTCCATTCTGTCTCTCATGAAAGCATTCACCATCTGTGCCATGTCCAGAGATCAAGGGGGCATGTACAGATGCTTGGTGTCCAACAATGCCACCCAGCTGTCCCTCCTGGGTGCTCTTAAAGTCCAAGTCCTTGGTGAGTCTCCTTTTCCTGGTTCCTCTCCTCTGTCCCTCTGAGAAGCAGAAGCTGTTGGTGTCAGAGGAACCAAGAGTTTTTAATCCGGGGCCTTCAGACATTCTGTGAGAGGGGATAATCCCTGGATGGGTATCAAGTTGCATGCAAAATGTTTGTGCTGTGTTCTAGAGAAAGGTTAACAGTTGTCTTCAGATTCTTAAGGGGCCTGGAACTCTGAAAAAAGTTAAGAGCCACAGAGCTACAACAATACCCAGAGTTTGAGGGGGACCCAGAAGACGGGATTTCCTGTGCTGCTGGTCGCTGAGCGGGGCTCTGAGCCCAGGGGAGGCCGGGCACATCCTCCGCAAGACCCTGTGGGCTCTCCGTGGGGTGTTCATGATCTGATTCTCTGGAGTGGGGTTGATTTTCTATATGTACAAACACTAGCACAACACTCCCATACTCCATAAACACATGGTGGAGCCACACACACACACACACACACACACACACACACACACACACACATAATAACCACACGTGCCCAGCACACTCACGCCTGTGTGCAATGCACACAATAGACACATACAACTCATACACCACCCCCACACATAACATACAATACCACAGGCATATAACACACACTAACACAAAACATAAATACAACACATACACAATAGACACATGCAGCATAATACAAAGTATGTAACATATCAAAGACACATAACACATACTCACATGCACCATACACAAAAACCAGAACACATGAACAGAATACACTCACACATATCAGTAACACATTCAACACATGTGATATACACATAAAACACAGACATACATATCTCACATGCAACAGGTACACAACAAACAACACCACAGACAGATGACAGATGACACACTCTCACATAAAACATATACACACATAACATGCATGCACTAGACACACACAACACATACACACATCTCAGACACTCACACCTGCACCTTTCTCTTGGTCCTGGGGGTCTCAGGAGGCAGGAGTACACGTAGCCTCTGCCAGGAGTCCCCCAGGGAGCAGGGCCACATGCAGCCCTGCCAAGAGAGAGTGCAGGAAGGTGAGTTGCTCAAAGCACGCCTTGAGCTAGGGGCTGCCGCCTGGGGAGGTGGTCAACCACAGACCAGACACAAAGTTCTGAGGCTTAGTGCATGCACTAAGCAACTTTATTGGGACAAAGCAGGTATTGTATATGTTTCAGCCAGCTGCAAACCCCTCCCATCACCTCCCCATTTCCTAGGTAACTCAACAGGAAGTCTGCGGTTTGTGGTTAAGCCTTGCAAAATCTTGCTGGCACAGTGTATTTGCATCCTGCTGAGACAAGCAAAATACAGGAGAGCAAGAGTGCCTCCAGCTTTAACAGGTGTTCTCCTTCATTTTCCTCCAAACACCCACTCAACAGCACAACTACTCAACATCGCAGACACTTAAGACATGCCACAGAAAACACACCGTATACCATACACTCAACACCCTCAACACATACACACAACTGACACATAATACACAGACAAAATGCATACACATACCAACACACGGCACAGCCCTACGCAAAGCGTACGATCACATCACACAGCACATGCACATAACACATGCAACACCGCAGAGACAGAACATACACTCACAGACAGAAAATATATACACACACAACATACAGTCGCACACACAGTGCATATGTGTACCACCCACACACCTCACAGTCACAAAACATATATACACAATATCATATTAACAGACACAAAATACACACTCACACACGAAACTCATATACACTCTTCATACACACAAAACCCGTAAGATATTCACATAATCAACACACAACACACTCTAATCCACAAAATACATAAACGTACCTACCACACCTGCTATACAGTCATATGTGAAGCACGTATATACACACCACTCACAGCATACACACATACATCCTTGGAAAACCATTGTGGGCCAGGCAGGGGAAGGAGACTGGGAAGCATCCCTGACTCTGACCCTGTATCTCTATGTATTTTCAAAAAGACTGACAAAGCCTCTAGTCATGTGCCTAAGCCTGAATCTTGTGGAGGATGCTGGGTCCATGCCCCTGTCCTGCCAAACTACCCATCAGTGGGTTGGTGTCGAGTGGCTCCTGAGTGGCCAGCCACTCCTGCCCAGTGAGCACCGTTGGCTGACAACAGGACCCAGGTCATTCACCACCTCTGGCGGAACAACACGGAGCCCTACAAGTGTGAGGTCTGGAACCAGGGCTACTGAGCACAGAGTGACGCCCTTGGGGGGTCTGACCATCAACTGTGAGTCTCTGGCGCCTGGACCTTCTCCTCCTCTCTTCCTCACTCCCTCCCTTTAAGTTAGTTCTTCCCTCTAGTCACTCATTCCATGACTATTGAACACATGTTTTGTGCCAGCATGAATCTGGGCACTGGACAAGACAGAGCGCCTCACGGAGCTTACGTTTCAGTGGAGGAGACAGATCATAACAGACGAGGGTGTCTTAAGGCTAAGTAAGGTCAAGGAGACCTGTGAGGTATGGAAGAGGGACAGAGAATGCTGGGAGAGGGGGAAGGCGAGGTACAGAGACAGAAGGAGGCAAGGGAGCGAGTCACATGGGTGGCTAAGGGATGGGAGTCCAGGGGGAGGGAACAGCATGTGAGGTGGGACAGTGCTTGGTACATTGGAGGAACCACAAGAAGGTCAGGGTGGCTGGAGAGGAGTGAGCTTGGGGGAGAGTGGAAGGAGAAGGGGTTGCGAGGTGATGGGGGAGGGGCCAGGTCATGCAGGGCCCTGTGGGCCATGAGGGCACTGGGAGCCATGGAGGGCTCTGAGCAGAGGAGGGACAGGATCACATGTAGGTTTTCACAGAGTCTTGCTGGCCCTGGTCTACAGGGAGGCAAAGAAGGAAGCAGGAGAGAGGAAGGAGGTGATAGCAACAGTTCTGTTTTTCTGGGTCCTTGGAGAAGCAGACTGCAAAATGGGATTAAACAGGATTACACATGCAGGGATTTTATTAGGGGAAATGCTGCTGTGAGAGTAACTCGGTAGGCAGCTGTGGAAGGCTGGGAAAGCCATCACACTGAGCAGATCTGACCCTGAGTGCAAGGCGGAGGGAGAGAGGGTTGGGTGGAAGTGCCTGGACCGCCGCATGGTCTAAGGAACACCTATGAAGTCTGTCGGGGTGTCCCACGTTTCCCAGAAAGAGATCTGCCTTAGTTTCCCTGTTGCACTCAGGTACTTGCAGGTGCAGCCTGTGGGATGGCTGGGGGTGGATTTCAGGACACAGTGACTGGGCCCTTGGTCAATACACTCCTGTCATTGGAGGTCCATGAGGTGCCTTCTCATGGTGGCCACAGACATCAATCATCAATACGGAGATGATGGGGCTGGGCCAGGCTGGCAGCTGTGGACTTTGAGAAATGGTCTAACTGTGGATATATTTAGAATATCAAACTCACAGGATTTGTTGCTGTTAAACATGAGGTGAATGAGAAAGAGAGGAATCAAGAATGACTTTAAGGTTTCTTGCCTGACCTACTTGAAGGATGTAGGAGCCATGAAATGAGACAGAAAAGATTGGGAAAGAAGAGGTTTCTGCAGGGAGAGAAGGTAGGGGTCCACTTTTACACGTGTTAAGTCTCAGGCGGGTATAAAGGCAGGAGTTATGTACACGCCATTTCTCCACTTTACCCTCCTCTGTTGCTCTCTCTTCTTTCCTTCCTACTTCAGCAATTAAATCAAAGATTACTTATTTTGTGCTCTCTCTGTGTGAGCAACATGTCGGGCACTTGATAATAGCCATGACTTTCAGCACTTGCAGGCTATTGGAAATGGGAAGATCAATAATCAGGAAAATAAAATACAGCATAATAAATGCTGCCATGGAGGAAGAAGAGAGGATTTGGGGACCCCAAAGGGAGCCCAGTCAGGGGGATGCGGGAAGGCTCATCGTGACAGGTGATGTCTACCATGAGATCTGAAGGACAAGCAGGAGGCCAGCTAGAGCAGATTTAGGGGAGAGCATTCCTTGACAGTATCCATCCTCTGCTCAGAACACTCCATGGCTCCCCAGTGTCCCTGGGACAAAGCCCATGACTAATGAGATCCTTCACAATCTGACTCTCGCAGACCACTGCAGCCCCACCACCCACTTTTCCACATTTCCCACTTTTCATCTAGGAATAAGAACCCACTCAGATATTCCATCCTTGTCATGCTCTCTCCTGCCAATGATCCCCCTCTGGCATTTCAAAGGAAAGTTGCAAGTATTCACACCATTGAGAAGACACACAGTAAAGCTTAGGGGCTAGGTGCACAGGACACAGCCACAATTTCTGAAGCCGGCTGTCTTATGAGACTCCTTTGTTAGAATTCACTTTTGCAAAGGCAGAGTTGTTTTCTGGCTTTTGTTTTTGTTTTGATCCCTTCCCCCCCACCCCCCACCACCCCATGTTGTGGACCACAATCTGCTTATCAGGAGCTAAGGAGGAAAAGGGAGACTTTTCTCCTTGCCTTGCCGAGATTCCTTTCAACAGCAGTTAGAAGAGCCTTTGTTTCCAGGCTGCAGCCTGGAATTCCCTTGGTTAGAACTGAGAAGAAGAGAAAAGGCAAAACTTCCAATGTGGAAGTGAAAGGGGAAGAATGGGGTAGCATGCCAATGGAAGATGGGGTGCACAACGCTTGGCTTTGCCCACAGATGGTCCTGACTAAGTTGACACCGCCAGGGGGTCCGCATCTGGGGTGGTCGGCATCATCAAGGTGGGACTCAACTCTAGCCGGACCCTGCACTGTTGGGCTGAGTCCAAGCCAGGCACCGAGTATTGCTGGGCCCTAGAACACTCTGCCAGGGAGTGTGTGGGGGAGCAGCTGATCATTGGCGCTCTGACCTGAGAACACAAAGGGACCTACAACTGCACAGCCTTCAATCCTCTGACCCACCTGGCTCACTCTGCCTTGGTCCTGGTCAAGGTGGTCAGTGAGTCTCTCAGGCATGCCTTCCCCTGGGATCCAAGTGGCTTTTCCTGATGCTGGCCCCAACCACCTAGTCTTTCCTTACCATGGATTGGAGTGTGGCAGCGCGTGTACCGCATGGGCAGGTTCCCAGTCCAGACCTGTCAAATCCCAACCCCTAGCGCTCAGGCCCTGGAGCCTCTACTTCCTGCGGTGTGCCCTGGCAGACTCTCCGGGCTGTTCCTCAGTCTTCTTTCCTGCAAATGGGGTTTGTGATGCCTACCGTTCAGAGTTGTTAGTAGGACAATGAGTCAGGAACATAGCCAGTGAGAGAAAGAGTGAGTGGTATGGGCAGTCAAGAACCTTTTTAATAACTGGGTGTGACTGGCAGGGAGTCTCTGTGTTCTGGTATTGAGTTCTTGAAAGGGCAACACGGTGTCACTGATCACCAGGGGTCACATCCTGGCTCTAGTGCTTATTAGCTGTGTGACCTTGGGCAAGTTACTTAACATCTCTGGGCCTCTGATTTATAATTTGTAAAACAAGCATAATATTTGTGCTAATTTCTTAGGGTTGTTGAAGATTAACATTTGTAAAGTTCATAGGGCAGTGCTTGGCATATTGTAAGTTTTTGTTAAACAAATAAAATCATTTTTTTTCCTTTTTGTCTTTTTTTACTGACTGGTAATGGGATCGCAACCCTCGGTGTCGCGCCCATACCGGGGACCGGCAATGGGATCGCAACCCTCACTGTTGCGCCCACACCTCGCTCAGCCAGTGAGAGGGAACCAGTCTCCACATGGGATCCGAACCCTCGGTGGGAGCACCGCCGCGCTCCCAAGTGGTGTACTCTCCAGTGCGCCACCAGGCTGGCCCAATAAAATCATTTTTTATTGTGCCTGTGCCACATGTCTCATCCAAGCATTTCCATACACAATATTAAGAAACACTTCTTAGGTCTCTCTGTCAGCCAGTTATGAGATGAGCCTGTTGGTATATTCATTGTACAGAAGGAGAGACTGAGACCTAGAGACCCAAACCCTGTTGCCGGGGTTTGAAACCAGGCTGGCTGCCTCAGAGCAATGTCCTTAGTTGACCACCTTTTGTCAAGCACCTACTATGTGTCAGGCAGTGTGCTGGTACTTTTATGCATGATCCCATTTAATCTCCTCAAAAGTCTATAGGGTTAAGAATTACTATCCTTGTTTGACATATAAAGAAATGTAGACTCAGAGAATGAAACTAAGAAGCCCTGAAGCATGCCAGGAAGTCCCTCCTATGCCTCCACAGCAGAGACTTTTCCTCGTACCCCTGGCCCTCGTGGCTGCCTTGCTAATCCCAGTGGCTGGATTTCACCCCTTTGAGAAAGGTTCAGGCAGAAGGAGGATGGGCAAACAGCTGGCTAATGTTAATTGCAACACCACCACTTATTAATCACCTACTGTGTGCCAGGCATTAACATTTGTGATCTCATCTCATCTTTTTTTTTTTTTTCCCCTTTTTTTGTCTTTTTTCGTGACCGGCAATGGATTGCAACCCTCAGTGTCGCGCCCGTACCGGACCGGGACCGGCAACGGGATCGCAACCCTCGGTGCTGCGCCCGCACCTCGCTCAGCCAGTGAGCGGGAACCGGTCTGTATGTGGGATCCGAACCCTCGGCGGGAGTGCCGCCGCGCTCCCAAGCTGTGCACTGTAGCAGTGCGCCACCGGGCCGGCCCAGATCTCATCTCATCTTTGCAACATCCTGTACAGTGAGTACCGTTTCCCTCAATTTTCAGATGAAGAAATGAGACTCAGAAATTAATTTACATGTCTGGGGTACACAGTCCCAGAGAGTTGAAGGGCTCCAAGTGAAAGCCAGGTTCCTGGCTTCCAAAGCCCTTTCCTCTGGTCCTCCTGGCCTCCTCCATGGAAGGGGTGACAGGCAAATCCATATTCGATCCATCATCCTAATCAGCACTGTCATCACCACCACCATTTACTGATGACTTTCTATGGGTCCAAACATGACATATTAAACATTACTTATATTGAACATGAACACATATATGTTTAATTTTTCCAGCGACCCTATGAAATAGGCACTATTGTTTCCATTTTACAAGAGACAACTGAAGTGTAGAGATGTTAAGTTGTATGCTCAAGGTCACACAGCTGGTGTTTGAACCCAGACCAGTTGGCTCCAGAAACAATGCTATTAATACCACAGACTGCCACCTCCCAATGACTGGAAGACAAGTGCTCATAAAATGTCAGTGGAGATAAAGCTACAGCTTAGGAATGGGGCTGGAGGTAGGGATGAGGGTGTATCAGGCCTGGATCTTGATTCTCTTTCCTTGCCCAGATCCCCAGTCCTCCTCCATGTCTGCAGTGGCCATCGCTGGCATTGTTATCAGGATCCTGGCTGTCACTGCCCTGGTCTCAGGACTGGGCTATTTCCTCTACATTAGAAATGCCAGATGGTAAAACTGGGAATGGGATAGTGAGTGTGGCCAGCAGGGGGCCCACCTGTTGGGAGTGTTGTCACTGACCATGGTGCTGAGTGTGTGTGTGTGGCACCTGGGGACTTCAGAGGGTTTGGTGGCATTGTCTGAGAATGGACGTAGGATATGGGCAGAATCAGTGGAGATGGGCAGGGACTAGAGGCAGAGAAGACTGAGGGCTTTGGGGTTTCAGGCCCTCAAGGAGAGGCAGAGAACCCCATCCATGAGGCCACACAACCCACCTCTGAGGAGAAGAACCCTACAGAGCCCATTTCCAGTGAGTGAATCCGTGGCTGAAGCCTGCGGCAGTGGAGAGGGCTGGGAAAGAGGCTGGGGCTGGGAGCCCAGGCCTCCCCTCCCAGCTTTGCCACCAGGTTATCGTTTGCTCACGGGCAAGCCCTGTACTCTCAAAGCCTCAGTGTCCCCACGTGGTGTATGGATGAGATGGGAGTCAGGAACTCTGAGGGGTTTTGTCTGACAACATGCTGGCATTCTGTCCTTCCTCAGTCTCAGAAAACCTTGTTAATTGATTGTTACAGACACTCCTTCCTGCGGAATCCAATCCCAGCCTCGTAATCCATCTTCACACAGTGCCTCAGGTGCCCTCTACTGATGAGCGGGAATTGACCAGAGGCAAAATGAGACATCTTTGCCATCTCTGGGCCTCGGATTCTGGAAGAATGGGCCTCATGTGTGGAAGGCCCTCTAGAGACTGTCCAACTGCGTTAGTCTGTTTCTGTTGCTTATAACAAAGTACCTGGAACTGGGTAATTTATAAGAAAATAAAATTTATTGCCTACAGTTTCTGAGGCTGGGAAGTTTAAGGTCCAGGGAACACATCTGGTGAGGGTCTTCGTTTGATGGTGGCTTCAGGGACACAGGGTATCACATTGCAAGACAGCAGAAGCAGAGAGAGACTAGCCTCCTCATTCACTCTCCTTTTAAAGCCCTCCAAACCATGTCCATGACCACCACTTTTAATCCATTCGCTACAGCTTGATCCTGCAATCTAATCACCTCTTCAAGGCCCCACCTTTCAATTACTGTAATAGGATTTCCCACCCTCAACTGTTACAATGGAGATTAAATTTTGGGGGGACATTCAACTCAAGGCACCAACCCTGCTCCCTTTTACACAGAGGAGAACCACAGCCAGTAAGGATAAAGGGCAAAACCCCAGCTATAGAGGACCCACTGGCTCAACCTAAGCCTTTGATTTCTCTCCTCACCTGTGTCACCGAACAGCCTTATCTAATCCAGAACTTAATTTCTAGGACGTTTGCAGCTCAAGCTTGCTGGAGATGTGATACGGAATCCTGGGGAGAAGGGAGGGTTTCTGCCAATTCCCTCCTGTGGATGGGGATTCTGGAAAAACAGCACCTTCCCTCATATCTCTTCATAATTCCAGCTCTGGGCTGGGATTCACTTTCTCTAGATAGGCTGAGGCCCAAATGTGACAATATACTCAAGGCCAGGGACAGATTGGAGTAAAAAAGGTAGGTGATGCTCCGGAGGGACCCTCCCTGCTCCTCTGACTGCCTGGCCCTTCCCCAGTCTGGCAGAGCTGCTCCTGTCCTGTCCCTCAGGGTGGGGGCAGGGCAGGCATCTTCTCCTGAGAACACCTGGTGCCAGCTTGCGTCTCTCTGCATCTCCTCCGCTGCCTTCTCTGAGGATCCCAAGACACTCTCTGGCTTTTCCATATCTTCTCCTGTTCTTCTTGCTATTTAACATGACAATGCCTAGTCTTGAGCCCTTCTGGGAATCAGCCAAAGCTATTTCTGAGAATGTCTGGTGGTGGCGCCCATCCCAAGCCCTATGACCTCTTCACAACTTTATTTTTACCCAGATACGGCTACCAGACCTCCCAGAGCAGTTCTGTGAGGTAGGTTGGCCCTGCTGGATTTGATTAAGGAAGCTGTGAAGGAAATACAATTCAAGAATTTTATTATTTATTTATTTATTTATTTTTTCCTTTTTGTCTTTTTTCGTGTCCGGCAACGGATCGCAACCCTCAGTGTCGCGCCCGCACCGGACTGGGACCGGCAACGGGATCGCAACCCTCGGTGTTGCGTCCGCACCTCGCTCAGCCAGTGAGCGGGAACCGGTCTGTATGTGGGATCCGAACCCTCAGCGGGAGCGCCGCCACGCTCGCAAGTGGCGCACTGTAGCAGCGCGCCACCGGGCCGGCCCCAAGAATTTTATATTTGACGAGCCTGAGAGACCATATTGTCTAAATCTTTTGTTGTGCATCACAGGGCCAGGGATGGGGAGAAAGTGGCCCAAGGCCTCCCAGGGAGCTGGGTCAGATTCCAGGACTCTGGTTCCTCTTTTGTTCCTTCTACCTCCAGGGCTTAGGATCGGATTGCCAGTGAGGTATACTGGGGGGCTAATAAACCTTGCGTGGAGGGGCACATGCTGGGGTAAAATGGAGGTTGGGAGTAGAGGTTGCAGAGCCAACACGAGAAAGGAAAGAATTCTGGGTCAGGGCAGGGCCTGGGTCCTAACTCTACTTCCACTTCCAATTCTCTGCGAGAACATGTGCAAACTCCTTCCTCTCTCTGGGTCTATGAAGAGAGTAAGTTGGCAGTTTCCAGGCAGTCTGTGTCTGTGGGCTTACCTGATCTCCCTGCTCACTTGCAGAAGGGGCCACCTTCAGCAACCCCTGGAGGCTATTCACAAAGCCCCAGGAAACCACCACCCAAGCTTGCAGTGTATTCATTGGATCCCACTCTACGGAAGGAAAACACAAAGTCAGACTAGGAGGCGTTTTTAAGCCACGCTGAGACTTTGTGCAGGTGGAAAGCTGTCATCAGTCTGCCTCATCCTCCCTACTGAACAGTCTATAGGATAAAGTATCAAAAGAATTTCCCTTTAAAAATCTTTTCAATTCCACTCCATTCCTTTCCATCTCGTCCCATTCACTGCACCCCGTCCCGTTCCTTTCTGTCCATCCCACTCTGCCTTGTTTGAACCCATTGTGTTCCTTTCCATTTCTTTCTTAACTCATTCCTTTCCATTCTTTTCCTCTTTTCTATGACATTTTATTCATTTTTATTTTTTAATTTTAATTGCATATCATTCGCTTCCCCTGTATTCCATGATCATCTGTTTTATTCAAGTCCAATCCATTTTCATCCTATCGCTTTATTTCATTTTCGTCCTCTTCCTTTCCACCCCCTTGCATTCCTATTCTTTCCATTCATATATTTAACCCATTCCATCCATTCTGTTTCCTACCACTGTATTCTTTTCTATCCAACGTCCCTATTTATATTCATCCCGTTTGATTGGCTTTCATTTCATTCCACTTCTTCCCATTATAAATACAGTTGACCCTTGAACAACCCGCAGGTGTGGGTTCACTTACACATGGATTTTAAAAAAAATAAATACCGCAAGTGTATTTTATCTTTCTTATGATTTTCTTAGTACCTTTTTCTTTTCTCCAGCTTACTTCACTATTAAGAACTCAGCATATAATAATATAAACACACAAAATATGTGGCAACCGACTGTTTCTGTTATCAGTGAGGCCTCTGGTCAACAGCAGGCTATTAGTAGTTAAGTTTTGGGTAAGTCGAAAGCGATGCATGAATTTTTGGCTATGCGGGGAGGGTGGGGTTGGTGCCCCTAACTCCCACGTTATTCAAAGGTCAACTGTATTTCTTTTCCATTAGCCTCCTCTTCTTTCCATTCCCTTCATTTCCTCTTCCCCATCCTTTCCCCTTCCATTCAATTCTAATTCACTGTTTTCCATTTCCTTCCATTCCGTTCTCTTCCATTCTATTCCCTTTTCATTCCTTTCGAATCCACTCCACTCTGTTCCGTTCATTCTACTCCATTCCTGTCTTTGTTACCTTCCATTCCAAACTTCCCATTTAATTTCTTATTTTCAAGTTCACTCATTCCACTCCTTTCCGTGTTGTTTAAGTTCTTTCAGTTTCATTCCAGTCCTTTTTTATCTCCTATATTTTGCATTCCCTTACGTTTCATGGCATTGCACCGAGTTTCACTCAATTACGTTTCATTATTTTGGATTCCATGGCATTCCATTTCATCCACCTTTTGGTCCTTTCAATTGTGTTCCTTTATTTCTATTCTTTAATTTCCACAGTGTCCTTTTATTGTACTACTTTTCTGTTATTTCCTCTTCATTTCTTTCCTCTAATTTTCATTGCTTTGCTTTCTCTTCCATTTTCATCCTATACCCCATTTCATTACTCTCCTTTCCACTGCATTTTGCTTTATTTTATTCTCTTCCTTTTTCTCCTTTCCTGCTATAAGTTTTCTTTTCATGCTATTCCTTTCCTTCACATTTCTTTGGATCCCATGCCATTTTATTCCACTCCATTCTCTGCCTTTAATTTCCACTGTATTTCTTTCTGTTCTGTTTTGTTCTATTCTATTCCAGCTCTATGCATTCCACCCAGGCCTTCCCATCCCTTTCTGTTACATTGCTAACCAATCTATTTCTTTTCATTTATTTCTTATCCTTTCCAATTCTTCATTTGTTTTTTCATGATATTTACTTCCCCACATTTCTCCCATGGGAGATTCGAAGCAGCTTGTGTACAATTTTATTAAATGGTGCTAAACTAGAAACAGTAATCATAATCAGGAAAAATATTTTTATAATAGCAGCAAATCAGGATATGGGTAAAAAAATAAAAATATGCTGGACCTACATGGTATCTGTTCTTATACCTCTTATTTGTCTTGGCTTCCTGGTAGCAAACAAAAAAGAGGAATGATCAGTTGCATCACTCAAAAGGAAGGCATAAGCAGAGCTTCCCATAGCAAGTGCGGATAACTCAGGTGATCGCTCCCTAGTTCTGAGGACTAGTGGATTTAATGACTTTAGTATCCCTGCTCTCAGGACTAGCTGCATTGCTCCATGTTCAGGGATGGACCTTAGACTCTACACTCTGATGGAGTCAGTGACCAATCAGACTTTATCCCGAGGAGACAAAAGAGGGAGGCCAGAACAGGGGCTCAAATCCATGCCCTATCGACAGAGTTTTGTTTGGTTTGGAAAAGAGAAAGTTTAGGAATATAGAATTCCAGTGTTTTAATGTCTGAAGGGCTGGCTTGGGATAGAGGGACAAACATGTTCCCTCTTGTTGCAGAGGGCAGGTCAATTACCATGGAGTGTGGGTTAGGGGGTGGTAGACTTTAGCCCAATCACAGATGAACTATTCTTGAAAAATGTGAATATTCTACATATCTTAGGGATTTTTAATATTAAGAAAGATAAGCCCTCTGATAGTTCAGATAAAATGGGGATT